TACTACATAGATTAGATATGGAGAGAGTGGATGACCTTGTCTTATTCCTGATTTTGGTGAAATTGCTTTGAACTTTTTTTTCTATATTGAGGTATGACCATTTTATCCCAGGACTTTTATCATGTAGGGGTGTTGGAATTTGCCAAAGGCCTTTTCTACATCTAATGAGATGATAACAGGGTTTGTTCAGTTTGTTCATGTAGTAGATTATATTTACTTATTTTTATATGTTGAACCACCCTAAATCTCTGGGTTTAAACCTAGATGATCATGGTAGATTCTTGCTGTTAATTTAATGGTATGGTCTAATAATGTTTATTGTTAGCCTATAATTATCATGGCAGTATATCTAACCCACTATCACAATCAATAAAAGACACAGACACCTAATAGATTTTATAATAGTCTTGTATCACCTGGGACAGGGCAGATATTAACTTTATAAGCTGCCTTTATCTCCCAGCCCCATCCCAGGCTACCTCCCATCCATAGTTCCATAAATACTTGCCTATTCATCTGGGGCACTTCCTTCATCTATGCCTACCGTGTGTTTCTTTATGCTTACTTATGGTGACTCTCTGCTTCCTTTCTCCTCCTGTTCTTGTTTCTGTTTCCTTCCCAAGGTCCTCCTCTTCTCCAAGCTCTCAAACTCTAGCCATGCCTACCTCCTTTTGTCCTGCCCAGGTACAGATCTTTTAATCAATCAATCAGGGATAATTTCTTTGGCAAGGTTATGAAAGTCATTTTGAGGTATGTGAGTGTCTGTTCATCTGGGAACCAACCAGATCTTGGGGGCCAATAATCAGCATCAGAATACACAGCACAAGACCACTCCCTAACAGCAGACGATCTTTTTTATATGTTCTTAGGTTGGGTTTGTGAATATTTTGTTAATTTTTTTCTATTTATATTCATGAGGGAGATTGGTATATAATTCTGTTTCTTTGTTGAGACTTTGTGTGGTTTGGGTATCAGGATGACTGTAGCCTTATAAAATGAATTGGGAAGAGTTTCTTCTGTTACTATGTTGTGGAATAATTTTATGAGTGTTGGCATTGACTCTTCTTTGAAAGTTTGGTAGAATTCTGCACTAAAACCATCTGGCAATAAGCTGTTTTTGATTAGGAGACTTTCAATTACTGCTTATATTTTACTAGGGGTAACAGGTTTGCTTAAATTGCTTATTTGATCTTGATTTAACTCTTTGTAGGTGGTATGCATTGAGAAAATTATACTTTTGTTTTAGATTTTCCAATTTGATGGAGTAAAATATAAATATAAAATTTGATGGAGTTTTTAAAATATATGTGCATGATTGTCTGTATTTCCTTGGTATCTATCGTTACCTTCCCCTTTTCAATTATGATTTTGTTAATTTGGATATTCTTTCTTTGCCTTTAGTTAATTTTTCAAAGAATCAACCATCTTTCATTAATTCCTTGTATTATTCTCTTCTATTCTAATTTGTTGAGTTCATCCCTGAGTTTGATGATTTCCTGCCATCTACTTATTTTCAGAGTGGTTTCTTCTTTTTCTTCTAGAACTTTCTGTTCATGAGGTTGTCTCCTGTGCCAATGAGTTCAAGGCTCTTACCCACTTTCTCCTCTAGCTGATTTAGTGTATCTGGTTTTATGTTGAGGTCTTCGATCCATTTGGACTTGAGTTTTATGCAGGGCGACAAATATGTATCTGTTTGCATTTTTCTCCATGTAGACATCCAGTTAGCATCATTTGTTGAAAATACTGTCTTTTTACATCGTATGGTTTTGGCTTGTCAAAAATCAGGTATGTATAGGTATGTGGGTTTATTTCTGGGTCTTCTATTTGCTTCCACTGATTCACCAGCCTAAACTTTCAGGTGTGCTATTAAGTTGATAGTAGGATATCTCTCTAGTTTTTATGTAGGCACTAAGTGTGTAGAACAATGAAAGAGTATTAAAAGCAGTAAATGGAAAAGGTCAAATAGCACATAAAGGCAGAACTATCAGAATTACATGCAACTTCTCAAGAAAGACTCCAAGAGCCAGAGGGGCCTGGGCAGGAATATTGTAGACTCTAAGAAACCACAGATGTGAGCCCAGACTACTATAACCAGTAAAACTTTTAATTACCATAAATAGAGAAAACAAGATATTCCATAACAAAACTAAATTAAAACAACATCTGTCCACAAATCCACCCTACAGAAGATACTAGAAGGAAAATCCCAACCCAAGGAAGTTAACTACACACAAGAAAACATGGGAAATAAATAACCCCACAAAAATAAAACCAAACAAGGGGAGTGCATACTTTCACAAATACACACACACACACACACAACCACCACCAACATCAAAATAACAGAAAGTAACAACCACTGCTCATTAATATCTTTCAACATCAATGGCTTCAACTCCCCAATAAAAAAGACACAGATTAGCAGATGGATGCTTAAACATGATCCATCATTCTATTGCATACAAAAAACACACTTCAGCAAAAAAGATAGACATAACCTAAGAGTAAAGGGATGGAAAAAGTTTTCCAAGCAAAGAAACCTGAAAAGGAAGCTGGAATAATATTCTAATATCTGATAAAATAGAATTTCAACCAAAATTAAATAAGAGATGGAGGAAGGACATTTCATACAAATTTTTTCATAAAAAAAAATCCACCAAGAGAGCTCAGTCTTGAATAGCTATGTCTCAAATATGAGGACATCCAGATTTTTACAAGAAACATTAATAAAAGTTAAATCACACATTAAAACTCACATATTAATAGTGATAGATTTCCATACCCTACTCTCACCAATGGACAGAAACTAAACAGAGAAATAGTGAAAATAACAGATGTTATGAATCAGAACTTTTAACCCAAACACGAAAGAATATATCATCTTTTCAGCACCTCATAAGACTTCTCCAAAATTGACTATAGAGCCAGTCACAAAGCAAGCCTGGACAGATACAAGAAAACTGAAATAACCCCTAGCTTCTTATCAGATCACCATGTATTAAAGCTGAAATTCAACAACAGAAACAACAGAAAGCCTGTAAACTCATGGAAATTTGAACAACTCTTTACTCAATGGTCAGGGAAAAAAGAAAGAAAGAAATGAAAAACTGTCTAGAATTCAAAGAAAATGAAGGCACAACATACCCAAACTTACACGGTATAACGAAAGCAGTGCTGAGGAAAGTTCATAGGACTAAATGCCTTCATAAAGTGATCAGAGAGATCTCATACTACCAATTTAAAAGCACACCTAGAAGCCCTCGGGGGATTGGTGGGGAGAGAAGCAAACACATCCAAGAGGAATAGATAGCAGAAAATAATCAAACCCAAGGGCTAGAATCAATAAATTAGAAACAAAGGGGAAAAAACAAAGAATCAACTAAACCAAGAGATGGTTCTTTGAAAAAACCAACAAGATAGACAAACCCTTAGCCAAACCAATTAAAAGGCAGAGACACAGTATCCAAATAAACAGAACCAGAAATTAAAATGGGCATATAACAAACACTGACAAAATCCAAAGACTCATTAGGTATTACTTCAAAAACCTGTACTACACAAAACTGGAAAATATAAATGAAGTGAATTGTTTTCTTGATAGATACCACTTACCAGATTTAAGTCAAGAGCAGGTAAACAATTGAAATAGAACTATAATTTCTAAGGAAATAGAAACAGTCATTAAAAACATTTCAAACAAAAAAATTCATGGGCTAGATGATTTTAGTGCAGAATTCTACCAGACTTTCAAAGAAGAGCAAATACTAATACTCCTCAAACTATTCTACAAAACAGAAACAGAAGGAACATTTCCAAACTCATTCAATGAGGTCATAGTCACCCTGATACCTGAACAACACAAAGACCCAACAAAGAAAGAGAACTTCAGACCAATCTCTCTTATGAACATTGATGCAAAAAATACTCAATAAAATGTGCAAATGGAATCCAAGAACACATTAAAAATACCATCCACTATGATCAAGTAGGCTTCATCTGAGGGATGCAGGGATGGTTCAACATACAAAAATCCATCAATGTAATCCAACATATTAAAAAAAAAAAAACTAAAGGAAAAAAAATGATCATCTCATTATACACTGAAAAGGCCTTTGACAAAATTCAACACCCCTTCACGTTAAAGATCAGAGATTTAAGGTATATATCTAGACACAATAAAGGCAATACACAGCAAGCTGATAGCCAAATTAAATTAAATGGAAATTAAATTTCCATTAAATGGAAATTAATTGGAAAGATTAATTTGGAAATTAAATGGAAAGAAATTTAAAGCAATTTCACTAAAATCAGTGACAAGACAAGGAGGCACACTCTCTTTGTATCTAACAATATAGTACTTGAAGTTCTAGCTAGAGCAAAAAGACAACTAAAGGAGATCAGCAGATACAAGTTGGAAAGGAAGAAGTCAAAGTATCACTATTCACAGATGCTAGTATATGTATGTGACCCTGTGGCAGCCTTTTTGGAGTTAATGGCAAATTTGGAGTTAATGGGATCTGAGCAGTGGAATTCGGCCTCTTGGCTCTGGCTATTATCCAAAGTCCAGTCTCTCATAGACTGACAGTGACAGTCCTTCAGCCAGGGAAACAACTGAGAGACTTTCTAAACAACAGGGAACATCGCAGGAGGTGAAAACCTTGGTCTCACACCCAGGGACTTGTTTGGGGAAGGTGAGAAACGACCCTTTGATCTCTCGGCACTCCCCTCCCCCAGACCTCCCTCCTCCTCGGCACAGCGGACTCGCCTTTCTCAGCGCAGACCTAACTGCCTGGGGCCTGCAGCCACTGAGGCTGAGCCCCAAGTCCTTTATCGGCAAAGGCCAACAGTACTGTGTCTTGGAGCCCCAGATTCGCGCGGCAGCTGCACCATCCTCCCAGGGCCCGAGTCTGCTAGACGCCATACTAGCTCCGCAGGAGCGCCATCACTGACGGTACAGCCCGCCCAATCCCACAGTGACAGAGAATACGCTATATACTCACCAAAACCAGACAGAAACGCCATACAAGCTAGACACACCAGGCGCTGGGCCTTCGAAGCTTGGAGAGCACAGTGAAGAGACCCCAGGACCTCCCAGAAAGCATCTGGACTAACAACCCAGTCTCCAGATACAGCGGGACTTTCTAACCTGGCGGCGGAGCAGCACTGAGCTGGCGAGTCACATCAGCCCTCCAGTTTAAGACTAACCAGGGCCAAACCAGAGAACAGAAAGGCTGGTTACCCCGATTCCTACTGACGTGACCACCCTGAAATCTCCAAGCTGCAGCAAGACCTCATAACCTGGCAGTGACAACAGCACAGAACTGGCGGAGCACATCAAAGAAGCAGGGCCAAACCAGAGAACAGAGAGCCCAGATACACCGATCTCTGCCAAGTGACCTGCCTGTAAGTGAGTGCACCCTTGAGAATCTGCAGCTCCACTGATCCTGGGTCCTGCTAAAACAGAAGCCAGGCATCGAGCCCCCTCCCACCCATATACCCACTTTGGGAAACAGAGGGGCACTTGGAACATTGAAGTTCCTGCTCTGTGGGTCTAATTGAGGAGTTAAGGCAGTTAATGCCAGAAATTGCGCTGCGATCATCACTAGCGCCTGCGACATATACATTGCAGAGCCCCTCCCACACACTCAAGGGTTCAACATTAGCCATCACTCTGTCCCTCGAGACACACGCCCACACCCACTTACACACACACACACATACACACGCACGCACGTTTGCATTTGCCTCTGTTTGCGCCTGCGTACTTTCCTCCCACAGGTACAGCTAGTCCTCAGCACACGCTAAGGACACGGGACCTCTCTCAACTTCCTGAAGAATTCTCCAGACTCGAGAGAGAGACAGTACCAGTCTGATCGGCTGAATCCAAAAATAAACAGGGAAGGTCTCAGATAAGCCAATGGCCAGAGGTAGGCGAAAGAACACTTCCAACATAAATCAGGACATCATGACTTCACCAGCAAACCCCAAAATCGATGGATACTCCAATTCATCAGAAGCACAGGAAAATGACCTTAAAGCCATGCTTGCTCAATTATTTGAGGCTCATAAGGAGGAAATGAACAAATCTTTCAAAGAGTTGGCCAGTCAATTGGAGGTAAAGAAAGAAGAAATAGACAAAACCCTTAAAGAAACACAGGCAAACATAGCCAAACAAATAGAGGCACAAGTAGAGAAAAAATTAGTGGCATACAAAAAGGAAATGAACAAAGAAATAGAGTCCATCGTAGAGAGACAGGAATCCAAATTCAAACACATGGAAGAAATGGTGCAAGGCATGAAAACAGAATTAGAATCAATAAAGAAAACACAAAATGAGAAAACTCTTGAGCTGGAGAACTTGGAGAAAAGATCAGGAACCACAAAAGTAAGCATCACCAACAGAATACAAGAGATGGAAGAGAGAATCTCTGGAGCTGAAGACACACTTGCAGAAATTGATACTTCTCTCAAAGAAAAAGTAAAATCAGAAAAATTCCAATCACAAAATATCCAAGAAATCAAGGATGCTATGAAAAGACAAAATCTAAGAATAATAGGAATTGATGAAAAAGAAGACTCCAGGCTCCAAGGTCCAGAAAATATTTTCAAGAAAATCATAGAAGAAAATTTTATATATTTAATATTTAATTATTATTTATTATATTTATAATAATATAATATAATATAATATTTATAATAATATAAATATATTTATATATTTAAGTGACCCCAAAAATTCTACCATAGGACTCCTACTACTTATAAAACACTTTCAGCAAAGTGGCTGCATATAAAATTAACTCAAAAAAATCAGTAGCTCTTCTTTATACACATGATAAATGGGATGAGACAGAAGTTAGGAAACCAACACCTTCACAGCCACAAACAATATAAAGTATCTTGGTGTAACTCTGTCGCTGCCCAGCAGCAACACCTGAATACCACCTGAGAGAGGGCAACACAGAGAAGGACACCAAGTCTAGGCTCTGATCCAGGTGTCAGTTTAATCGACGTCAGGTTAACACTTAAGCAGGCAGAAAAGCACAAGCAGTTTCTCAGGCAGGAGCTTGACTTGGCCAAAACATAGGAGAGCTCACTCAAGGTTACCCAGAGTCAGCCGTCTGGTTACCATGGTAGCAAGAAATTTACTCTCTAGTTCTCAGGGTCAAGGCCCACTGCTGAAGAATTGCCAGGGTCAATCTCTTAGCCTCCAAGCTTTAGATGGTAACCAGGGCCAAGTGGCCAAGTTTCACTGCTTAGATGCTCATTCCAAATTGCCATTAACTCCAAATAGGCTGTCACATAACTCTAACTAAGCAAATAAAAGACCTGTATGACAAGAACTTCAAGTCTCTGAAGAAAGAAATTGGAGAAGATATCAGAAGATGAAAAGATCTCCCATGCTCATGATTTGGTAGGATTAACATAGTAAAAAATGGCCATTTTACCAAAAGTATTCTACAGGATCAATGTAATTCCCATCACAATTCCAACACAATTCTTTACAGACCTTGAAAGAGCAATTCTGAACTTCATATGGAAAAATAAATAACCCAGGATAGTGAAAACAATCCTATAAAATAAAAGATCTTCTGGAGGTATCACCATCCAGAAGCACTAGGTATCACCATACAGAGCACTAGTAATGAAAACTGCATGGTATTGGCAATAAGAACAAACAGGTCAATTGATGGAATTGAGTCAGAGACTCAGAAATAAACCCACACACATACACATACTTGATTTTCAACAAAGAAACTGAAACCATACAATGAAAAAAGAGCATCTTCAACAAATAGAGCAGGACTAATTGAATGTCTACATGCAGAAGAATGTAAATAGATTCTGATTCTCACCCTGCACAAACTTTAAGTCCAAGTGGACCGAAGTCTTCAACATTAAACCAGAGACAGTAAATCTAATAAAAGAGAAAGAGAAAGAGCCTTGAACTCATTGGCACAGGAGACAACTTCCTGAACAGATGATTCAGATATTAATATCAATGATTAATAAATGGGACCTCAAGAAACTGAAAAGCTTCTGTAAGGCAAATGACACCGTCAATAGGACAAAACAACAGACTAAAATTGGGAAAACATCTTCACCAACCCTACATTGACAAAGGGTTACTATCAAAAATATTTAAGAAGTCAAGAAATTAAACACCAATAAACCAAATAATCCAATTAAAAATGGGATACAAAGCTAAACAGCTAATTCTCAACAGAGGAGTATTGGATGGCTTAGAAGCACTTAAAGAAATGTTCAGTGTCTTAGTCAACAGGAAAACGCAAATCAAAACAACTCTGAGATTCCCTCTTACACCCATCAGAATGGCAGGATCAAAAACTCAAGTGATGGCACATGCTGGTGAAAAGTGGAAGAAGAGGAGTACTCCTTCATTGCTGATGAGAGTGTAAACTTGTACAAGCACTGTGGACATCAATCTTGAGGTTTCACAGAAAATTGGAAACAGTTCTACGTCAAGACCCAGCTATACCACACCTGGGCATATACCCAAAAGATACTCCACCGTACCACAAGACAGTTGCTCATCTATGTTCATAGCAGATTTATTTGTAATTTCCAGAAACTGGAAACTGCCTAAATGTTCCTGAACCATAGAATGGATAAAGAAAATGTGGTACCTTTACACAATGGAATACTACTCCGCTATTAAAAACAAGAACATCATGCAACTTTCAGGCAAATGGATGGAACTAGAGAATATCATCCTGGGTGAGGTAAAGAAAGACATGGGAGGCATGTACTCACTTATAAGTGGATATAAGCCATAAAATGCAGAATAACCATAGACCCAACGAAGCTAAGTAACAAGGAAGGCCCAAGGTAGGATGCTTGAATCTCACTCAGAAAGGCAAATAAAATAGACAAATGAAATAAATTGAGGGAGGGAACTGGGTGGAAGAGGGGGTGGAAAGGAAAACTGAGGTGGGAATCAGGTGTAAGAAGGGGATGAAGGGGAAACTGGGAGAGAGAACGGAAATCAATGGGGGCCATCTCTGGGGTGGGGAGGCTCCATGGAGTCTACAGGGGTGACTCTGGCTGAGAGGCCTAGCAGAAGAAGATATAGAATCTTCTGTCACCACCTCATGTAGTCAGGAGAAACTTCCAGAGAAGGGAGTGGAACAGCAACCCATCCACGAAACCTTTGACCCAGAATTTTAAGGATAAAGATGGAGCAGAGATTGAGAGACGGGCCAAATAATGACTGACCCAACTTGAGACCCACCCCATGGGAGAGAGCCAACCCCTGACACTATTAATGATGCTCTGCTCTGCTTGCAGACTTGAGCAAAGCATAACTGTCTTCTAAGAGGCTTCATCCAGCAGCTGATGGAAACAGATGCAAAGACCCACAGCCAACAGCAGGCTGAGCTCAGGGAGTCTTGTGGCAGAGTGGAGGAAAAGATGGAGGTAGCCAGAGTGGACAAGATCACCACAAGAAGACCTACAGAGTAAACTAACATGGGCCCATGGAGGCTCACAGAGACTGAACCACCAACCAAAAAAAAAGTTCATGGGCTGGCCCTAGGCCCCTACACAAATGTAGCAGATGTGCAGTTTGTTCTTCATGTGGGTCCCCTAACGATTGGGGGGGGGGGGGGATGTCTCTGACTCTGTTGCCTGCCTTTGGGTCTCTTTCTCCTAGCTGGGCTGCCTTGTGTGGCCTCAGTGGGAGAGGATGTGCTTAGTCCTGCTGTGACTTGAGGTGCCAGGGTAGGTCAGCACCCCTTGGGGGCCTCCCCTTCTCTGAGGAGGAACGGAGTGGGCAGAGGGAGGATTTTTGTAATATTCTTGTATTTTATTTCAAAATCTCTCTTGACCAAAGTGAGTGATTCTTTTGTTTGCTATGGGATTTAGTTTGCTGGTATTTTGTTGGGATTTTTGCCAGGAATATTAATTAATATTAAAAAAAAAAGAAAGAAATTTAAAATTTTAATTGTTTTGGAGGATTCTGAGTGGCTTCAGTGCCAGGCTGACCTCATCAAATGGGGTTGAAATTAATCTTTCTTTTTGTTTCCCCTTCTTTCTCAGTTCTTAACAGGTGTGGGGTAAAAGTAATTTTTTATGTTCATTTGAAAATGATGTCAGCCTAAGTTTATTATCTTGAACTGAGCTTTGTTATGTGATCATTCTATAAGAACTCATCATGCTGGTGGATGAGAAAGTAGCCTTTGCTAAAAATCTAATCAGACTTCTGAGGCATTATAAATG